ATACATAAAATATTAATTCTGCTGCAGAAATCAAACACACACACACACACACACACACACACACACACACACACACACACACACACACACACACACACACACACACACACACACACAAAGCATATAAAGATGATCTCCTCTTGCAGTGGCATCAGATTAACCTGTTGTGTTGAGTTTTGATTTAATAGTTTTAATAGTTTTTATTCCCACATTGTTGAGTGTGTACTCTGGAAAATGGAATAAATAATACATAAAATATTAATTCTGCTGCAGAAATCAACTTTTGGTCGACACCCATGGCGGCCCTTATCATGTACATGTGCTTTTCATCCTAAAATATATATTATTTTTTTGTCCGTGGTATGTTCGAAATGTCCACTTGCTTGCTGTGAATTTTGGGACATTTTTCAGACGGGGGGGTTGCAGGAAAAGTTCAGCAAATTGTCGAGAGCAACTGACATTTCTATTTCACATACAGCCCCTCTAGAAAATTGATAATGTCTGCAGTGAATGTCTGAAAGCAGCAGAGAATGTGACCCTGTATAACGAGCTAACCGATGATTTGGGTCAGTTTGATAACTGAGATTACAAAACAATCAGAACTACACAAAGACAAGGTCTAAATAGAAAAAGAATTGCCAATTACACATATAATGCAGATGAAAAACCATTGCACCATATTTGAGACACCCCAGGGATGTGACACTTCTTTATTCTTTACCTCTGACGTGTTATTAGTTTCAAAATAAATAAAGTATCAGGCTGGTGAAACAATGTCATATATGTTTTTAAGCTGTTGAACTGGGCTCTATTAACGGAGAGTCACTATTCTGGACAAGAAAAAAAATTAGCTATTACCCTGGCGATGGTAAATAAAGTAATAGACAGGCGGGTGACAGAGACAGGAGGCAGCACTGCAGGAGACACTTTCATGTTCCTGATTAAGGCGCCTCTATCCCCGAGAAGAGACAGGTGACGACAGCTCAGATATACTCTCACCAGGGAAATCAGCTGCCTCCCCACACTATTCTTCTCTATCCCTGTTTGCTCCCTTACGCCCTCCCATTTGTGTGTGTGTTAGTGTGAGTGTGTGTGTGTGCACCTTTCAGCTGCCACGTCCAAAAGAAAGCGGA